TCCTTAAGGACGTTCGATCCTGATATTTTGAGCGTATTTCGCGCAGGTCCTTTATTCATAAAATTAAGCATCATTTTTAGGTTCTAACAATAAAATTGAATTCTACAATGCAAATTAAAGTATATTCAATAAAAAACCGCGATTAAATTCCATTCAAGTAGTATTAAGCTAGGGACTATATTTTGTGGCGGAAGGATTTTTAGACGAACATGGTCAGTTTTTTCCATTTGAACTATAACAGTACTGTTAATTTTGGATGCCTATTTTTCCATGCTGGTTGCACACACAGCTGTTTTTTTGCAGTGAAATATGTTATGCTGGTTCTGAAATATCTATTAAATTATTTCTCATGAATTTTATCAACAAAGTGTGACAAATATAGTAAATTTATTCTGAAAATCCGGGAAAAAATTGAACCAATTTTAACGTAAAATTCACACTTTTTTAGTAATATCTGAAAATGTACATCATACACCTCTACTTTTGGTGTTCTTTTCTAAATACTCAAGATAACTTTGACCTATTTGCTTAAAATCAGAAAAAGTTTAAGACTTTAAAATAATTTTCTTGCTTATAATATTTTCAATGCCGGAAAAATAACATTTTATTAGTGCAGAAAGGTCAAATAATTGATTATGCGAAGCAATTTGAAACTTTTTCTTAGTCACAATTTTTAAGTGTCTTTTTTAAAACAGACTTAGAGTTCATTTTGTTTCATGCTTTATTTCGATAAAAATATTGGAGGGTAAACGTCGAAAATGTAATTTTTAATTAAGACACAAATTTCAGTGCAAAAAGGTCATATTAAGTGTACTGTAGCGCTAAAAGAAGCATATTGACACCCATTTTTTGATTTGAATTTTTATTAAGCTATGTATGTAGAAACTAAAAATATACTTGGCAAAAAAAGTTTAAGACTTTAAATATCAGGATCGAACGTCGTTAATAATATATACATTTTTCCAAGATTTTGTCATTGAAGTATTACGACTTAAACATGTTTACTCACAAAAGAATGAGGTACCTTACCTGGCATTTGTGCAAGATACCGAGGGGTAGCTTTTCTTATATAATCCTTTTTTTTAAAGACGTTTAGAAACTGGTTTACAAATCTGAATGTAATTCAAATTTTGAATATTTTTCATACATTACAAAGATACAAAAAACAGATATTGAGGAACGTTTCGTCTGACCTTAATGTCTTCCACGAAAATAAGTATCTTTTACATGAATATATTTATATTTTCCCCATACATCTACAAATTCTGCCTACATTGTAAAATTGTATAATCAATGATAACATATAAAACATTAAAAGATCCATGTTATTTCGTTTTCTTTCAGGCACAACTACCGGAGATAGTCGATTTCGTATCTTTGATTACAGCAGTCGCGTGCGTTCGTGGGAGCAAGCACGCACTGCATGCCGCAGACTGGGTCGAGGATGGGACTTGGTTAAAATCAATAATAGGAGAGAGGATAACATTGTCAAAACATTTCTGAGGGAGGAGTGCAGTAAGAACGTTGATATTTACATAATTTTACGATAATTTGCATATTTCATTAAAAAAAGGAAGAATTCTCTAGCATTGAAAATTCCTCCTAAATTTTATCGTGCATCTATTCAGTCTATTCAAGCTTCTGGGTTACCTTGAATAAAGAAAGGTTTTTTCTAAGTTTCAAACACTTGTTACCAATCCCTTTATACAATAAAATATGTTCAAAAGACCTTGAAACCCTCAGTCCTGCATGATATAAACAATGCGACCATTTGATTCCGAAGAGGCAGATTTTGAAATTGAATATTTCTTGAAAGTTTTGAAAATAAATAATATATCTTCCAATGGCAAGAAAACAAAAAGGGATCTGACCTGAAATTGATAATCTGAGAACTATCTCATTACCTACATGTATCCCCTTTCAGAATCAAATTGTTTCATTAAAAATCATAGTATTTTAAAGGCATAGTGTTAAAGTAGATCTTGAACGACAATATAGAAATGGTGAAAAATGCCATCAAGTCATTCAATTAATGGAGATAATACCTGCTATATTTAACAGGCAATCGCGGTGATGGTTGGTTTATTGGCGGGAAATCTACAAATGGCCGATGGAGATGGGCAGATAACTCTAGGATGACATATACAAACTTTCCTCGACCTCTGCCCCCAATCAGCTCCTTTGGTGTTCGCAGGGGCATTCCACAGATGACAGTGGTTAACTACGCAGTTATTTTCAAAAATGATTTCCAGTGGGGATATGTGGCTCCCCGTCCACCACCGAGAATGGGCTACATTTGTGAAAAACAATGTCCTTTCCTTGGGGACCTGACATAATTGGTGGTGTTAGACCCGTTTCTATATAGATACATGTACATGTGTACACGTAAACATGCAAATAAATACATGTTATTTCTAACTTCATAATCATCTTCATTTAATAATAATATAATAATAATAATAATAATAATAATAATAATAATAATAATAATAATTGTTTTATATAGCGCTTAATGAACTTAATAAATACTACTCAAAGCGCTTTACAATTCATTATGTATACATTACATTTGTTCCAAATCTACATGTATCTTCATTTCCTAATTGTATTTCTACTTTTAAATGGTTATCTTAATTCATTAAAGACATCCGAGTCCTTTGTGTGAAACTTGAAAAAGCTCACAGAGATTACATTTCGTAGAACCTACGTCGTATGACACCATAAATAGTTAATGTGTTTAGTCTGTGCTAGATTCATTATGACGTCATAATTAATTCAATGTCACCTTTCCCCGTACTTTACAGCTTCAATAGAAAAGGTAGAAAATATTGCATTTTGAAATTCACAGAATTCAAAATCATGCCAAAATAATCATAATTCAATTGATAATTTTTTTGGTTATAATGCTTAATGGCAATATATTTCTGGAATAAGAGAAACCTGTTTTTATCTTGTCAATTGAATAAAAAAGAAATTATTTTTAAGAAATATTGCTTAATATTATTCAGTTAATAAAGTCTATAAACGACGATGTTTGAAGAGGTATTTTTGTGATTTTTCATTTTCTCTTCTTAATTTGACAAGTACCCCTAAACATGTGTAGTCGCAGAATGTAATTACCATACCAAGTTTCACAGGCTGTACTAGATTTAAAAACAAGGAAACATATCATGAGCTTTGAACTGATTGATAAGCAGGTACTAATTTATCATTTTGAAAAGTTTGAAAATCTTGTGATAAAGACTTTTCCGACATAGGTTCTACCTTAAAGAGTTTATAGTTACTACTTACTTAAAACAAAGGTTTATAACTAATGGTTTAGATAAATATAAAATAAATGTTTGTAAATGTAACTTTTCTTTTTCTACAACATGTGTATTATAGAAAGTACGACGGTTGTTCAATAAATGATTTCCTGAACTCTATGATATTTAACACAAGGATTCATAAGACATTAAGCTGGGCTTTCCCTCCTGATTGAATACATGTATTCATGGTCAGCAGGGAATGCTCACTCCTCCATGGCACCTGATCCCACCTCTGATGTTTAGGAGGTCCGTGTTTGCTCTGCTCCTATTTTGTATTGTTTTATGGACTTTGATATTGAATATTGTTCGTTATCTCCATATCCTTCATGTATTTAATAAACTGATAACCGTTTATGTGACTACGTCTCCTCGTTTTTTGTCATTATGAGAAGTTGAAAAACCAGCCTGGGGCTATTTGAGACACTGCATTAAAAATAAATGGTAAAGAATTAGTAAACTAGAGTGAAGTAAAAAGCTTCATTAAACACCCATTCTCAATATAATATAATATAATATAATATAATACAATATAATATAAGGGCTCAAATAATGTCGCCTCATTTTCATTTAGAAGAAATACCACTGATGTAATCTTTAAATCAACATTAATAATAGTCATATCAATGAATAAGAATTCATATAATTATCGATCTGAAAGGGTATTTAAGGAGCTCCAAATTCAAATACAGTAGCCTATTTGAAATGTACGTTACTGTCGCCGAAGCAAATATTATGCTGAATCCCCTCAGTGTAATATATAGTTTTGATTCTCAGGTAAAAATTTTCTGATAAGTTAAACCTTGTATCATATATATTTCTTTTCATAACAACAAATACATTTTCTTTGTGATAATAAATAATTTTTATTGTGCAATGTCCCTGTCGCTTAATTCTATTTCAACCACATTACAAGCAAACACAATGATTAAGGGGGATGTACGGCCACTTTTAGTGCAGTGAGAGCAAAATGTAAACATTTCTTCAAATGGCTAAAATACATTATATTTTGATCAAATTTTAAGTCTTTTTGATAAAGATACAATAAATATGCATAACCGAATGCATGTTGTGCATATATAATCTATACTTTTGCAGAAAAATGCTTTTGATATGCTCCTTAGAACTGCGCAGCTACAGAATTCAGCAGAGCCTTAAAAAATCCAAAAAAATATGCAAACTGTGTATTAATGTTCTCTCTACAACCATTTGTTGAGAAAATGTCTAAATTTTGCACATTTAAATGATAATTTCAAGTTCAAAACAAGGTACGGTTGTCTTCAAAAAGAGTGTAAAGAACCATGAAAGTAGTTCATGGATAGCAGCACGTGGTCTATTTTTAGCACAGAATCTTGTTTTCCAGACCTCTTCTTAATATGGAGGGGCATAACAATCTTTAAATGTAGAAGAGAATTACAGTTGCAAAATATTTCAAATAATATGAACACTTTTAAAAGAGGAAAGGTGTTATAGTGTGGCTTGAAGTAATTTATTTAGTATTATTACCGAACAGTTGTTAAATAGTTTACGTATTAATATAAAAAAAAATTAAACTCTTTGATTCCAGGTAAGGAAAAATAAGCACCATCAAAGTTAAAAATTAAGAGTTTGTAAGTTTGCCACAGATAAATTATATTATCTATTAAAATTTTAATTATCACCAATAAAACACAAAGAAATTAGACACATAAAATTGATACGAATGACCTTGTTTTAGTACCTACTAGTACGAAGCGTTATCAAAAAGTTCGCGAAATATCTCTATATCTACAAAACCACAATTCAGATTAGATAGCCAAACACAAGTTCTATAAATAGCATATGCTGAAGTTTTGCTCCTTGTTTGTGATGTCACAATCTGAAAATGACGTCATTATTCAGGTACTTTTGACGAAAAATGGTTGTCTCAGTGGAACTCGTTCAACAAACGACTTTAATATTTATGGCACATGTATATCTTAGAAATGCCTTTGAAGTAGCGTATAAGAATTTGTTCACAGTTTATTAAATGGCCTCCTATAATTTCAATCAATGATTGGATATCGTTTTAGTGAAGGAAGGCAGATGGTTAAATATGATACTTGTTATGTTGCCCGGTGAAAGCAAGTTTGAAAAGGGATGTGTTTTTTTAAAGCAATATGCTATCAAAGAAAATTATTGGGTCCGTATTTATAGGTGAGAAAAAAATTCCTTAAAATTTAAACAGAATTGTTGACGGAAGAAAAAGAAAAAAAATATCGTGTAATGGGATGTTAAAAAAATGAGTCGGGCCATTTCTAGGTAGTAGATCGGGAGAGAGGGCAACCAAATATTTTTATAACAAGTGGTCTTATAAGGCTAGTACATGTTCCATCACATACTTAGTAATGCAATTTTTTTTTTAATCTTTGACACTATTTTGAAAAACAAACATAGGATTTTCGGGGCGCGGGGGGGGGGGGGGGTGTTAACACTCACTTTTTTGCGATGATAGACTAGCATATGCAATGGACCTTTCTTTGCAAACATTGTGCTCGCTTCTAAATTTCATAGAAACAACTCATTATATTTTATCAAGCTTCGTATGTTCAATGAGCGAGAGCTTACAACGTTGTCAACATAATGAGACATGATGCGTTTTTGTGTCCAAACATGACCCCATACAATGTGTGGGTCATTGCAAACATTCTAGCTATTTATGTGAGGTGCCTGAAGGAAATCCTATAACAGCCTATTTTTTCTATCTAACTTCTAAATAAAATAGACATATGTACCAACTTTTCGAATGTAAGACGTGTAATTACAATTTATTTTTCATGCACTGCATATTGTTTAACATTTTCAAATTAAATGCTAAGCATCCTCCTTGCAGTGCCCCATTTGAAAATAACTTCTATCGCCACAGAAAAAAGACCCTCCGTAAACACAAATGTTTAGGACATTTTTATATTTTTTTATATATATATATAGAAACCAACAAATTATCATCACTTGTTCCATAAAAATTAAATATAATCATGGTAATAAACGGATCTATCCACAGCAGATACATGCACATGCCAACCATGTGCTTAGTGGAATAATATTAACGAGGAATTTCGAGTTGTAAACAGGACAGTTTTTCCCGATTTGCTGGAGTGAGGTTAAAATCGCGTTTTTTCATTAATCAGACGATGCGATGCAACAAATAAAAGTAGTAAGTAATATAACCTAATGATTATTACTTAGTAATTTCTTGTCTTGATGTTATTATGGTCGCATTTATTCTAAAATCATTGTTATTCGAACTCTGTGTGACAGAGGAATGGCGGACGAAATAAACACATGGCCTCAGGAAGACACCCATATGAAAAATCAAATTTTCAAGAATTATGGATAATGACAAGAAAAAAACGAAACAAATGGTTGTAGCCATATTATCAATGAATCAAACTAACTCCATTTTCAATGCATTTTTCATCTCATGAATGCTGTAGCTGCGCAGTTCTAACATGATTAATTTTCTTCTAATTAAGACAAAATAAACTTAATTATTTACTAATTTTGGTCTCTAACTGTAGGTAATTAGTGCATTAGCACTTTGAGTAACTTTGAGCTAGTTTAGTAGAGTATTAAGCGCATTCTTGGTATTTCTTAGTTTACAGCAGACTAGATCCAATATGGCTTGTACATCCCCCTTAAACACCTGATAGTTTTGTTCTCCTTTATTTATTGATGGGCTAAATTTGAAATTTCAAAGGATTAATTACTCCTACTTACATAATGTAACATGAAATTGAACAATTTGAGCAACTTTTATAAATATGTTTACGGAATGAAAGACATTTTCAATCGTAGAGATAAGAAAGAAATGTACGTTACCTATATTCTTCCATTAAGAATATATATTAAGTAGAAAATATGAGACGACTCTGAATAAGCAACCCCTTGTATCCTGTAAACTGGCAAAGACGTTTTGCTTAACACAATTAAAAATTATTTTTTACATGAAAAGTGATCATTTGAAATGTACGTTACTGAAATGTACGTTACCATGAAATTCGAATTAAGTGAATCTCGCACGAATTTTCATGTATTCTCATACTTTCACACACTCGAATGTGTACACAAAGGAAAGTTTCAAAGGTTGGAGGTCGGCTAAA